GTTTTCTTAGGTGGGAAATTTATGTATTGATTTGTGTTTAGAAGATTTGTAAAGGAGTGGTGGAAACTGTTCAACTCAAATTGTTCGTTAAAATTCCTGAAAAGCATTCACCATAGAGGTTACATGATAGAGGTTACTTAGTATATGCTTCTATATTTTGCAAAAATATGCTCATTGCCATATTTATTTGATTACATTCTTTGTATATATCCAAGTATACGACATGGAGAAAGGAAATGGGAGGCTCAAGGATACAAAGTCGGATCCTCGCTCCAGGAGGAAGACAAGCTTGAGCTAGCCAAATCCCTCATTGAGAAGGCTATGTCTAAGGAAGTCTCATTACTGCTGCCTACTGATGTTGCGATTGCAAACAAGTTTTCTGATGATGCTAACAGCGAGGTGGTTAGCACAACTGAAATTCCAGATGGGTGGATGGGGTTAGATGTGGGACAAGACATAATCAATACATTTGGTGAAGCTTTGGATACCACCCAAACAATCATATGGAATGGGCCAATGAGTGTTTTTGAGTTTGAGAAGTTTGCTACTGGCAGAGTGGCAATAGCAAAGAAATTGGCAGAGCTTAGCGGGACAACAATTATTGGAGGTGGAGACTCGGTTGCAGTGGTTGAGAAGGTCAAGTTGGTAGAAAAAATAAGTCATATCTCGACAGGAGGTGGTGCTAGCCTGGATCTGCTCGAGGGTAAATTGCTTCCTAGTCTTCTTGCACTTGATGATGCTTGAAAGAAATAGCAGTTGTGCATTTCCTCCTTAATTGATTGATCCGATGCTCTTTGATTTATATTCCTTGACATAGACATTAATCTTAATCAATAATGGATCTTTAAAATACAAAACCAAACTCCAGATTGTAAGCTGCAGCTTCTTTGGGTCATTTTAAGTTTAAGGAATCATAATTGAGCATCAAAGCGCATGAGTTTACTTAAAAAAAAAATCCTTGTATACGACATATGGTTTACTTTCTGTTTCCCTCCTTCTGGACACTCTTTAGCTCTTCAATATTCATACAAATCCCCTTACGGCACATTTCCTCTTTTATTTTTCAGGTGAGGTGCCATAGTTTCATTGTTGTCACCGGAGCTACTGCAAAACGACTCAGATTACCTTGAGAAGAAGAATTTTGGAGTAGAGGAATTAGTGCATGTGCTATTTGTGATGGCACATCCCCGCTCTTTAAAGGCCGGTTCCTTGTTGTGGTTGGAGGTGGTGATACAGCTACTGAAGCAATATACTTTACCAAGTATGCACGTCATGTGCATTTATTTGTCCGCAGAGACCATCTTAGAGCATCAAAGGCAATGCAAGATAGGTAAATAACATGAACAAATAACATTCTCATGTTATTTTGTTTTGTTTTTAAAATGCTTTGATTAAATAGAGCTCATACACATGAGAAATAGCTGCTTATGGTGACCCCTTGGGCTTGTTTTTTAGGATATTTTAGAGGGGAGGAAAGGGATGATTGACTTACCTTTTACTAATATAACTACTTGTTTTATTAGTAAAAGGGGTCAAGGGGGAGGAAAGGGATGATAACTTACGGTTTTTTTTTCAAAGCGCAAGAGTGCTTGTTTTTGCAGGTAGGTGTTTGGGTTAAAGTTGCTACCTATGCTTTAAGCAATGTTGAGCAATGGATGGCACCCAAAAAGGTAAGATTTCCTACTTCCTCCCAATGCTGAAAGATTTAACATAGCTTTATTATTATTAGTCTTTGAATGGAAACATAGCTGTATTACTATGCTCTTCTCTAATTGAGCTAACAAGCATCTTCCCTGCTTTGATCTAGGAATGTGTGCATTCTTTTTAATTTCTTGAACACCTTAATACTTTCAGGTTCTCCCAAATTCCTTTAACATAGCTATATTAATATTATTATTATTATTATTATTATTATTATTACTATTATTATTATTATTATTATTATTTGGGTCGTGTATTTGAGAGTTTTGAAAAAATCGATTAGCATGTAAGTTCCGCCATAGCTACTGCTTGCAAAGATGATGACATTATTTTTTGTATACTCCGTATTGAGTAAAAGAATGACGGCAGCTGCCATAGTTCCTGCAAAAGTGCTAAGTATATTGATGACTAAGTTACTTTTTAGTTAAATACTAACTTACTTTTCTCAAGTACTGATATAAAAAATTGACCACAGAGTATTTCTTTTGTTTCAGATTTTTTGCTACAAGTAATGATGGCACAGTCTTGCAAAACTAATTAAAATTAAAGTCAACCCTTTTTTACTTATAATTTCATATGCTCTGTGCTCGCTAGCTAATTGTTTTTAATTTTCCCCTGTTATAACTTTATCTAGATTTAGTTCAGTTTCATATTTTGATCAAATTCATTGTTTCTTCTATTTTGGGAATGGATTTAATAGCTTAGTTGAGGGGTAGTTTCTCCTTCTTGGACACTCACTTTGTGTTTAGGATGAGACCATACGGTTAGAGGGATGCAAGGAGAACAAGTCTGTTTCATTTTTTTATGAGATTAGAAAGATCAAATACTTGGAGGATTTCACATATTAGTCCACCTAGGCCCTTATTATACTCATTAGAAAATTATATAAAATATACTCCGTATTAAGCAACTGGTATATATCTTTAGATTGCTAACACTACATGTCTCTATATTATTTCTTTTTTGTTTCTAACATTTTCAGCCATTTGGGATTAATAAACTATATTAAGCAACTGGTGACCAATTGCATGTATTTATTTTTGCCTCTTCTTCTTTTCCCTCCACTGTTGCCGGATGTGGGCTTTGGTTTAATTTTGAGCGATGTACAACTTTGAGTTTGTTTAAACTGTTCATCTTTATATTGTCTCACTATGAGATTTTCTAAAGTAGATTTTGCATGTACTAGAAAAAATGGACTTTTAAGAGTGTCTACTTTGATTATGATGAAAAAAGTCAAGCAGTTGTGGGTGGTGATGATAGAAATGCAGGTATTGGTTAAAGCTTTTCAATGATAGGTATTTTTATTGTTCTGTTTTCACAAAATTAGCTATGATTTTTCATTCTCCATGAGTTGTTCTCCTTGAGTTTAATAGAACTGGAACACATTTTTATTGTTCTGTTTTCGCAAAATTAGCTATGATTTTCATTCTCCATGAATTGTTCTCCTTGAGTTTATTAGAACCTGGAACACATCTTAAATTGTTCTCCTTGAGTTTATCATCTCAATAACTATGTTTTTTATTTTGCTCTCTTACTGGTCCTTCAGCATGCTTCAACAGTGAATTTCTCGTACAAGCAGCAATTTGGTCTTTTCAGAAAGCAAAGGCCAATCAACTAGCTTGATTTACTGGTGCAATTTTCAAGCCAGAAAGAGTTGTGGTATCTTTCGGGCAGTTTTTATGCCAAGTTCGCAAATATGCTAAATGTTCAAGGCTTCTTCTCGTAGTTGATATTTTGGCACATGTGCTTTTATTTTAGGCTGCATTTTGTTCTTGTTTAATTATTTCATAGTACTTATTACTTCGGGGTATGCCCCTATGAATTGTGTAGTATATACATTCACATTTATGTGAGAATTTGAGATAATAAATAAAAATGTTTGAAATTTTGGTTATTTACTAGTATTAAATTATATATATTACAATTAACGTATTATGTGTATGTTTTCATATCATGGAGTTTTACAATGCTATAATGTCACTGAATTTTGTGATACCATAGTGTCACCGAGTTTTATGATATCATAGTGTCATCGAATTTTGTGATACTAAAGTGTCATAATTTAGTGACACTAAAAAAGTGTCACTATAAGTGTCACTAGCCCCCACCTTCAGCGACACTTTTTTAGTGTCGCAGAAGCTTTTAGTGACACTAATTTGGTGTCACTGTAAGACATTTTTCTAGTAGTGAACCTGGAATTTGGAGTTTTTGTTTGTGTTGGGTGCATGTTTTGTGACATATAATTTAAACTTGTAGTGTTTGTATTTTGGCCATGGCTATACGTTATTTACTTATGTTGTTGGCATTAAACACTTTATGTATGTTTGTATGTTTAGGGATGGTTTTTGAAGTATTTCCAGCTATGTTTATTGGCAAACAAGCCTCTAAAGCATACATATTTTAAAAAATGCTACCAAATTTTACATGGTCGGTTATGGTCGGTTATGCGGTTACCGCCCGAAACCGATTTCAGTATTTCGGTCGGTTAAACAGGTATTGTCGGTCGGTTATCGGTCGGTCATAAGAGAAATTTTTAGTAGTCGGTTATTCGGTTATCGGTCGGTTATTTAACCGATCGACCGAATGCTCACCCCTATTCTAAAGTACCATTATATAAGTGCAATATAATGAAAATTATCTTAGTTATGGGAGATCATGGCTACCTTAACAATTAGTTTCAATTCATTCAATTAAGTATCCTTGTCATACTTTCCTCCTTTTATTTACATTTTCCAACACAATACCAACCACACAACTATACTTACTTCTCTTAAAATCATACTCCGTATCATATTACTCCCTTTTGTTTCAATCTTAGGTGTGGATTTAGTAATTTATGAGTAATAATCAGTCATCGTCCTTGATGACATCATACATGCACTACTAGAATGTGTGTAATTAAGAAGGAAACATTTTCCTATGTAAATATGGTATTTTCCTTTCTAAATGGGTTAGCTACAAATTTAGATAGGACTTGTGTCTCCTCTACAAAACCTCCCTCGGTAATCCAGAATTCCTCTCTGCATTCCTTTCTAGCATATGAAGTGATGAAAAATATTTAATATTAGAAAGGACGGTAGTTCCTTTTAACTCTTCCTCCTCATTTATATAGAGAGGAACCTGGTTCCATTCTAAAAAAAAGGTGGGGCATAAAGAATAAACCAAGCAAGGAACCAAATTCCTCTCCAATTATTTTGTTAATTACGTATATATATACACTCTGTAAACTAGAAAGGAACTATGTTCCTCTCAATTCAATTCGAAAATTCATGTATATATACCTGTATAATACACAATATATTAATGTTAAACAAAATATATTTTTTAAATACGAACCAGATTCATATAAATACTAAACCGTATAAATAAACATCAAACATTCCATTGAAATAGATTAGAAGTCCTTCAAGGCATATTATTCTGCATCACAAGTCAATTAAAAGATACTTGATAAAATTCAAAAATACAATTCCTTAAAAGGATTACAAAGTCACTGAATGAGATCATGTTCCACATCTTCACATCCATTTTCACCCCGGTTTGAATGAGTGTAGCTGTTATTGAAGATTGGTGAAGGTTGGGGCATCAACATGCTCATAAAAGATCCCGCTTGGGGTTGTTGTGGAGAAATATTTATGTAAGCACTTTGTTGATGGTGTGGAAGAGAACCCATGAAAGTACCTTGTTGCATATTTTGCCTTGGGAGCACATTCATATATGAAACTTGTTGCAATGGTTGTGTCATTTTCATAGACTGAATAATACCTTGCATTTCTGCTAGTGTAGCAGATGCAGATTCTTTAAACTGCACAAGTTCTTTATTAGTTTCTAAAAGAACACTATTGGACTTCTCAACCTCTTCCAGACGTTGTTGAAATAATTTGTCCTCGTATGATTGTTGTTGAATTTTCTGAGAAGTAGAGGCTGAAGGAAAGAAATAGACACTAGCTGAGGCAAAACCAGTAACTTTTCCTCCTTTCTTTCGGCCACCAGCAGCCTTCAACAATAGATCTTGAGACTTGGCATTCGGCTCCTTTGACTTTAGTTCTTCATATGAGTCCTATTAAAAGTATAATTTCCGGGCAGAATAAGAGAAATTTAATTCACCTTTTTACAATTTTAATTTGATGAAAGGGAGTTAGTACATTAAAAATTAAACTAATTCATTAAATTACACTCACATAAATTTGTTTAGCTTTTGGTGTAACAAATGTACCGTCTGCTTTTGTATGTGTTTGCAGATATACTATTTCCGGGGGTGCTGTCTGGTTATGCTTTTCTTCCTGCGAACATTAGCACTATGTGTGTAATTTAAGGGTTACTAAAATATTAAAGCAGTAAAAAGTGCAATTATAAAATATACATGCTTACATATCTTCGGCAGTACTCTGTAATGGGTATAGATCCTCCAGTGTGCAATGCCATACCCACATCAGAGTTCCTATTTTTTTTATTAGTATTGCATTTGCTAATGAATTTTGCATCCCTCCATTGCTCAAGTAGCTGAACCCATATTGGAAGAATAATCCATTCTGGACATTGCTTTGTCTTACGAGCACTAGATAGTGCACGTGATAAACCTTCCGATCCTTTCTTGTTGAAATTCTTTGTAATGCGTGAATGATATTCCGGCCTCCAATAATACTTCTCCTACAGATTTAATTACACAAGACCACAATTTTGTAACATAAAGTAATAAAACAATGTATAACAAGTTATTGAAAATACATGCATCACCTTCCTGTTTTAGTGTACATTGAGTTCATTGAAAGAAAAGTTAGCAAGTTAGCAAATTGAATATGGCACTTACTAGTTTCTATAAACAAGAAAAATAATTCAGTAGATATTACATTGAATAAACTCAACCAAGCTTTCTTCAATCCTGGTGAAGCACGTGTATAAGAGCGAATCGGTTCATCAAACTTCTTCGTAATACACGGCATGACAAAACGATTTGCCTTGCATGGAATAAAGCTGCAAACATTCACTAAGTTATAAACATATATAGAAGAAATATTTTTAATCATTTACAAAAAATGGATATAACTATGACTACCTATTAATTCTTAATTGAGGTACCAGATTAAGTTTGATTGAGTGCAATAGAAGATAGTTTAATACTTAAGTTACCCAGAAATGCCGTCAGGAACAATCTCGATCTCAGGTTCTTGGTTTACAAGGGGAGATAGTGGTGGAGTAGATGGGGTAACCAGGGTAGTAGAATCATCTGAGCTGGTTGCTGCATTTTGAGATGGACATGAAGTAGAAGAGCTTGGATCTCGTGGTTGATAACGATTTTGAGCATTGATTACTGCAGGTGGGTAAGTGATGATTCGTGATATGTTTCCATTCTGAATCTCGTGATGCCTGGATAGCCAAATCAATTTGTTCACTTGTGATGCCTGGATTAAGAGCCCTCAACCCATCTTCATACGACCTACAAATAACCACTTTCACAAAATTATGAATATCATTAGTACATAGTGTAGAGGATGAAAAGAAATTCTTACGTTAAGTATGGTTTGACTTCCGCACAGTTCAGTAATACGTGTTGATGTGCTGCAAAAAACTCTTTACTATTCAGATATCGAAATCTAGTCGCACCCAACCCACGACCTGGACGATTAAAGACTGACAGGGTCGGCTGAAGACTGACATAGATGCCACCGTCATCCAAATTGCGACCAACTTTTGTTCTCCAACTCTCTACATGAGACTCAAAATAATATGAAGCAAAATTTGTCGCCTCTTCAATTAAATATGCCTCACATATAGAGCCTTCTACCCGGGCTTTGTTTTTTACCTTTCTTTTAAGGTAGTTAAATAATCTTTCAAAAGGATACATCCACCGGTATTGAATAGGTCCACCCATTAATGCTTTGTAAGGAAGATGAACAGGTAAATGCTCCATGCAATTAAAAAATCCTGGAGGAAGAAATTTCTCCAACTTACAAATGATTATTGGGATGTTTTGTTGTAGTTGTCTCACTTTATCCACATGTAAGTTTGCCGAACATAGATCTCGAAAAAATTGACTAAGTTCAGTAATAGCTTTCCAATGACTGGGTGGTAAGAAACTAAAAGCAACCGGCAGGAGACACTCCATGAAAACATGACAGTCATGGCTTTTCATTCCATGCAGTTTGCAATCTTCTAAATCAACACAAGAAGTCAAATTTCCTGCATAGCCATCTGGTGTACAAAGGTTTTGTATCCACTCATACACTACCCTCTGTTGATTATTGTCACAAGTAAAACTTGCTTTTGGTTTCAATAACTTTCCATTATTGTCAACCCTTAATTCGATTTCTGGCCGCGAGCAGTGCTCCTTTAAATCCATCCTTGATTTCACACCATCTTTGTTGTTTTTTGTTCCTTTGGTATCCATAACCGTATGGAACACATTATCAAAAACATTTTTTTCGATGTGCATCACATCGAGATTGTGTCGAATCATATTATCCTTCCAATATGGTAGTTCCCAAAAGATACTTCGCTTGGTCCAGTTATGTGTAGAACCATAACCTGGTATCTTCGAACCCTGTTGTTCAGTTATTTGTGGAATGTATGAAACACGTTCCAAAACTGCTTCACCACTCAAAATGTGTGGTGGATATGCCTTTTCGATCCTTCCTTTTACAAAAACATCTTTGTTTCTTCTAAATGGATGATCCATGGGCAGGAATTGACGGTGACAATCAAACCATGTGCACTTTCCTCCATTCTTTAGCCAAAAAGATTTTGAGGATTCCATACAATATGGGCATGACAGTTTCCCAGCAGTTTGCCAACCTGATAGCATCCCATATGCGGGAAAATCACTTATTGTCCACATTAAAGCTGCTTTCAATACAAAGTTGTGCTTTAAGGATACATCATAAGTGACAACACCTGTTTCCCACAAACACTTCAACTCATCAATCAATGGTTGTAAGTACACATCTATTTTAGCCTTTGGGTTATGCTTACCAGGAATAATAGAAGTCAAAAACATATAAGGAGTCGTCATACACATTGAGGGTGGCAAGTTGTACACTGTAACAATAATGGGCCAACATGAATATGATTTGGCAAACATACCAAATGGAGAGAATCCATCTGAACAAATTCCAAGTCTAACATTGCGTGGTTCTGAAGCAAATTGAGGGTACATTTGATCAAAGTGTTTCCATGCCTCACCATCTGATGGGTGACACATAACACTGGGCTCACATTGACTTTCAAAATGCCACCTCATATGTTTAGCAGAACTCGGTGATGCGAATAACCGTTGTAACCTCGGAATAAGTGGTAAGTAGTGCATCCTTTTTCGAGGAACTTTTGAATTTGGCTTATAACTTTTTTTGAAGCGTGGCTCAAAACAAAATTTGCATTGTGCCAATGCAATATCCTCCTTATAATACAACATGCATCCATTCACACAACAATCAATTTTTTCATGACCAAGACCGAGTTTAGAGACCAATTTTTCAGCTTCATAGAAACTAGATGGCACATTATTTGGTGATGGCATTGCTCGATTGCAAGCATCGAATATCTCATCCATTGCTTTTTGTGCAATGTTATAGGATGACTTAATACTCATCATCTTAAGGGTAAAAGACAATTCAGTATCTGCTGTACATCCTGACCACAACGGTTGTTGAGCAGAATCCAATAACTCGTAAAATTGTTTGGCACTATCATGCGGGCCCTCAATGTCTCGATTAAGATAACTAGGTTCTTGGTTCAATCCAAAATTATCATAAATCATTGTTTCATACATGTTATCTCCATCCATATGGTTGTGAGATGTATCATCAAAATTTCCACTGGATTGTAAAACATCTTCACCATGGAAAATCCAACACCAATAGTTTGACTCAAAACCCCATTTGTAAAGGTGAAGTTTTACATCTCCTGGATTTTTATAACGGCGATTCCTACATTTTGTACAAGGACATTTAATAACATTGTTCTCAACAAAAGTTGGTTGTACACACGCGAAATCCACAAAATTATCCACTCCAGCTTTAAATTCATCTGTTAACCCTTTCTGACCGGGGTTCACTCGATTATACATCCAACGACGTTCATTTCTATAATCCATTGTTATCCTGAAATTTGGGGAAGAATCTTTATGGTTCAGTCTTGACATTATTGTTATAGACCAAATATTAATTACACAATAATAGTTTTCTCCACAAAATGAAAACGATATTAACTTGTCCAAATACATATACACATACTTTACTCATTTGATACTAAGAATGTTTTCAATTGGACTAAGAGCCCGTTTGGTAACATTGTTATTCAGCTTATCAGGCTTATCAACTATTGTTTTGCCAAACACGTAACTTTTGATTTCACACACAGAATGTGTAATAATAAGGGAAAAAAGGTTGAGTTTACTTTACTGGATGTTTTGGTAGAAGTTACTGTAGAGAATCATTTTAGCTATTTTTACATATAATTTTTTCTTTATTTCATTAATAAAATATATTTTAAATTTAATTTTTTCATAGATCAGCAGAATCAACCAATACAACCACTTAAGACAGAACTTCATAAATTTTACCATGATCATCCAATTCAATTAATTTCAGTGTTACGAGACGGGCTCTAAAACTTTCTGGTTTGGTTTGATCAAGTCTAATCTGGTATGGTCTAGTATGATTTAGTTTGGTCTAGTCTAAACTAGTCTGGTCTGCAATATGTCTGATCCTTGGGTATTTATAACTACAGAAGTATGGTTTGAGATGATCTTCTATTTTTAAGTATGGTCTGATGTGATTTGCTCTATTTAAGTATAGTCTAATTCACTCTGAGACTGAATTAAATCTAAGTAAAACATCCTCATACTAATAATACTGTTTATGGCACCGCTGCTCAGACTTTTTATTTACCAAATAAATTATTATTATTTTAATGTACATAGTACTGTATGAATAACTATACAATAATATACGAGATGAAACAATTTACTACGTATAAATTATCGACAACTTATAAAGTATCAACGTTAAAATCTACACCCAATTTAAATGGCCGATAGAAACAATTTATATATACGAAGTACTTGTATATATAAAGTATCGACAATTTAACAAAGCTGCCATTAAACAAAATTGTTTTATTAATATACGAACTTTGAAGTAATAAAATTGAAGACATACCTTATCCTCCTAAAATGTAACTCTGAATACAGCTACAAATTAAATAAAGAAATTTGCTCTGCATTGTAAATACTCCAGAGAGAATAAGAATGATACTCCGGAGAGGCGTAGATAATTGTGTTGAGATGAAACAAAAAAAAAATGAATGGAGGAAAGAGATTATAAAGAAGTGCCAGAAGATAAAATTTAGTAAAAACGGACCGACGTAGTGGCATAAGTTGGTAAAATGAATTAATATATGGTTGAGAAAATTAAAACACTGCCTGCAGGATTCAATGCACTGCTCAGCTATTTATTAGGGAGTATTTTTGAATATTCAATGCATAGCTCAGCCGACCTATTTTTTATTTTAATTCCTTTCAAATCCTATTCAATTTTAAATACGGTGGTGTAGACCTTAGAGAGGAACTCCATTCCTAGCTACAGGAATTATTATGGTATTGTTTTAAATTATTAAATAGAGGAACCAAATTTCCTTTCTAAATTGTTAAAGTTCCTTTCTAATCCAACTAAACAACGAATATGCTTAATTCCTAGCCAAGTTCCTATCTAAATTACATACGATTATATTTCCCTACCAATTTCCTCTCTATTTCAACATTTTCTAGTAGTGATGAATCCTTTTCACTTCTTTAATCATCGTTCTTTCGAACTCGTCTCTTGAACTCTAAAACTCGTTTAATTTCTTTGAACTCAACCCTCTCTTTTCTTGGAAGCAGAAATGCAAAACAACTCACACATAGTTCACCGCTTTCAATTCGTGAGTTCTTCTTTCATTATCTTGTGCGATCTGGTTTTGCAAAAAGGAGCATAAGGTTTTTGTGTTTTCACCGGCGATGTTCATTGAACTCTAACGTAGGTTATGTCTTTCCAAACCAATTGGCCAAGGCAGTCCTCTATTTTCTCGAGACTTATTTTTATTTGTTAGTTTTTATGTTAGTTTTTATTTTTCAACGAAGTCGGAGTAAATCAATCTTGTTGTATGTGAGCTAGATATCAAGTTATTCATCTTGATTCAATAAACTGTTGGAAAAATGTGTGAAAAATTGCATTAAATGGCTATTTTCGGGCAATTTTTTGAGTGGGGTCCACTTCCGATTTGGGTCGGGTCAAAGTGGTTTCGGATTGTCATTGTTCAGGGCTACAATTCGATATACGGTACGCTCAAAACGGATAACGAGTGAATGAGAAATCGTTTTTCGAAGTTTACCCGTTAGAATGGAAAAACTGGGAAAAAGGATGGGTTTCTAGTGTGTTAATTTCCCACACCGGAAAACCCAAGGGATTTGCTACCCTTTATAAAGGGACTCCCCCCTTATGGAGTTAAGATTCTTAAGGGTAAAGGCTCTCTCCACGCGCGCAGGGGGGTGCAAATCAAATCCCGAATTCGGAGAAGAAAAACCGCGACTTGCGTGCGCGGGCGACCTGCGGACACGAATGTCGTCCAGAAGTCTTCGGACAGAAGCCTACGGATCAGAACACCTCGTTGGAGTTCTGATGGCCGCCCATCAGAGTTGGGGGTACTCTGATGGCCGCGGATCAGAGTTGGGGTACTCTAATGCCCAACGTTCTTATCTTTTAATGCAGCGTTAAATGGACAGTTCATGGACGATTCAATGCCCAACGGATCAGAAGCCTACGGATCAGAACACCTCGTTGGAGTTCTGATGGCAGCCCATCAGAGATGAGGTATTCTGATGGCCGCCCATCAGAGTTGGGGGTACTCTGATGGCCGCGGATCAGAGTTGGGGTCTTCTGATTGGCCTCCGATCAGAACCCCTCCCGGGGAAGTTCTGATGGAGGTCTTCTCTCGCACTTCTGAAACGTTACAACAATTAATGCCCAACGTTCTTATCTTTTAATGCAGCGTTAAATGGACAGTTCATGGACGATTCAATGCCCAACGGACTGGTCATTGATGTCCAACGTTCAGGTCCATTAATTCACCATTTACACACAACAAATCCTCCTATATAATGGCTGGCAGGTGGTTTGCAACAACACACGTTCTTACACGAATTCATACACGTTTTAGCTCTAAAAACACACTGCTAGCATTCTGAAAATTTCCTGAGTGTTCAGACTTGTTCTCGTTCGTTGGAACTTTTGTTTGTGTGCTCAAACATTAGTTCGTAGTCATCGTATCATGGGAAAAGATTGTTGCAACGCTCCTAGCACCGTGGGAGGCAACAAATACGTTTTAAGGACATCGTGCGTAGCACGAGCTTTGACTAATTCTGCTTCATCTCCTTTCTTGTTTTTCTCTAGTCATTTTATTTAATTAATTTATTTTAATTAATTTTCTTTATTTTCCGAAACACACCCAACATAAACTTCTTTTTAAATTTATGAATACGTACTATTTTTTATTTAGCGAATGATAACATTATTTCTTTGATAATAAAGGGGAGTCAAAATACTAGAGAAATTAAAAGATCACAACTTTATTAATTGATCGATAACAAAATTTCGAGTTAATCGATCATATTCTATATTTGTCCATGACACTTGTATACATTTCCATCATATATATGACATGATCTTAATTTATCGCATGATGCCACATTGCCACGTTTATTGAGTCTCTTTTTCTGTTTATCAATTATCACCTGCCAATGATTAATATAACTACCTCTCCCTAGTGAAGCCATGATTGTCTACACATGTGGAGAACCGAGTGGGCTTAATCTCTTGCCCAATTTCTCACGAATCTCACTATATAAGTCTCATGACTAGACCCAATCCTATCACCCAAAAGATTGTTCGTTATTGATCCTAATACTCGATCAATGAGTATCACAATAGTAATTGTATCCCCAGGACGGGCGGTTCCACGAATTTGGATTCGACTGGGCTTGAGAGTAATTGTATTAAGGGAGTGTTTGCGATTGCTTGTGCTTTTTAAAAGTGATTTTTTTAAGAGATTATTGGAAAAGTGATTTATAGTAAAAGTATGTAGTGTTTGGGAATAGAAGTGATTAAGATGAAAAAGTTAAACTGGAAGTGTTTGGTAAAAAAGTGATTTTTAATGGAATATTTTGTTTAACTACAAAAATGCCCTTGACATATAAAATTTTCAAGCATCTCTCCCTTGCCCAGCGCGCCTCAAAGCCGATCTTGTCTTTCAAAGCAGGTAGTATGAGGCACCATCTCTCCTGCAAGGGTGCAATTGCTTCTTTCAATTGAAAAAATAGAAAGCCGTATAAGGTAGCATATATTCCTCCCTGCAAATCTGCAATTGCTTCCTCTTTTGTTCGAAATTGCTTCTTGCAATTCATTCATCTGTTGAAAGACATCACAACGATCTATCCCAAAAGACATGGAAGTCATATAGGACGGGCTACCTCAACAGATCTGGAAGTCAAGCTGTGGCGGTGATCCTGTTCACGGCAGCCTCAGAGCGCCTGGGGCCTTGCGCTCTCCTTCCATCCTTCTGGCTTCTTGTTAATTAATAAAACTATATATATACATATAATTAATTATATATAATTATATATGTATATAATTATATATGTACGGAATGAGCAGGTGAGGAGCTAAACGGGAGTTATGGAGTCGGGGATGAAGAAGTACCGAAGGAGATGGGGGTATCTTTGGTCCAAGCTAAATAAATGTTCCATTATAACTATCCTAAAAGTTTGAATTAATTACAAAAAAAACCAATAAGCAGTTAAAAGCACCCCAACTCCAACTTCCAGCTTTTGGCTTTAAAGTACTTTTTTTAAGTAGAAGCAGGTGATTGCAAACACTATTTTCTGCTTTATTTAAGTTAAAAGCTCACAAGTGCTTTTTTTAAGTGTTAACAAACACTACTTAAGACTATTGCAATGCAATGCAATGGAATGAAGTATGTAATGGAATAAAAAGTGTAACATAATGGAATGAAATCATTATTCCATTACTATGTTTGGTTAGCAGCGCGCGACAGAACACGCGAGAAGAAGGAAAAGTGCAGATTTGAGAGGGAAAATTCATCTGACGGGAGAGGGAGTAGTTGGTTGCACAAAAAAAATACTCCCTCCGGTTTTTATTAAACTTCACACTTTCCTTTTTGGGACGGTTTAAAATAAACTTCACACTTCCTTATTTTCTTTTTTGGCAAAGAAATATACATCAAAACAGTGCCAAACAGTGTCTCAACAGTGCCAAAAGTGTCTCAACAGTGTCAAACAGTGTCTCAACAGTGTACTCTACTGTAAAATCAAATTTCTTTCCTTATTTTGTGTGAAGTCAAAGTGTGAAGTTTAATAAAAACTGGAATACAAAAAAGAGTAATCACAAATATATAACATTTCTAATGTAAAGCCTATTACATACTTTAAAGTAATGGATTTGATATAAGTAATTCACATTACATTACGGTTTATAATAAAATGACATACCAAATATTTTATTCGAATCAACATGTAATGTTCATTACATTACATGATTGATTACATTATAGCAAACATAGCCTAAGATTAATTAAACATTAATATGGTGAGCTAAATTAATATAATTAAAAATGAAAAAAATTACATGGTATAACAGGCTATGCCCAAGTAATTTATGGATTCAGTTTGGAAAGACTAATAATGTCACCCTAGCTTTTACCTTTGTCGATCATCTTCTCATATATAATGTCGTGTGGTACATACTATGTATATATAAGTTGGTCTAATTAATATATTACCTCCGTCCCGTTGGAATGTTCCCACTTTCCTTTTTTGGACGTCCAAATGGAAAGTTCTCATTTCCCTAAATGGAAAGTTATCCTACATCAAAACAGTGTCAAACAGTGCAAAACAGTGTCAAACAGCGTCCAAACAGTGTCCAAACAGTAAAATTTACCCCCTGGTAAGTTTATTTCCTTAATATGTGTGTAGGTCAAACCGGGAACATTCCAACGAGACGGAGGGAGTATAACCTAACATCGTGATGGCTCCACTGGTATAACAAACTTTGTTAGTAATATAACGGTTCGTGAATAATACAATAATACGTACATTCGTATATAATACGATACAATTATATAAAATACGGCTAAATATATGTTTCATACGTCCTTGAAATGAATAAAGATACGAACGTGTTTTAAACGTTTCATAATTTAAAAATACGACATATAATACATGTCTTATAGACTAA